AAGGATTTTTTTAATTTTGACTTTTAAGTGCGGTGTTATTAGGAGGGGTTCTTGTAGTCAAAACAAAGATCATATTTCTGGAATGATGGACATCAACACGAAACTTCTTAAGTAATTATTACTCCTTAACGAATTATAGGACGCCATATAGGAAAAATGGTTGCAAATAAAGTAATATTTTAATGATGTTCATTAAATGAAAAATGAACAACACAAAATCTTGAGAAACTGAAGTGCACATCTGATACATAAAGGACCCTTTTTAGCCAGTTTCATGAAGATCACGGTCGAATAAGGGCCTCTCTATAATACAAAATGTCAAGGTTCTGTTTTCTCTTTTTTATTTTCTCCCATTATGATATGCAAGTTAATGCCCAAATAGGCGATGCTTAGTTTACAGCAAGTTTTCTGCGGGTTTATCATGATTAAAAAGTTGGTGTGTAAAAACATGAACGATTGTTTATAATGAGCTAGGTTCTACCATTGACTAACATAAGTAGACTTCCCATCTCACTGTTAAACTTGAGGCGTGTTTTCATGTCTGGATTATGTTGGTGCCACTGAGTACTAGAGTAAAAGAATGTTAGTTCACTCATTTTTCGGTTAGTTTTATGATTTGTGCTTAATTTTTCTGTTATAAAACCAAAGCACGAGCTATTGTTTATAGTTCAAAAGTTTGGTTAAACTAGGTTGAAATATTTCAACTAACGAGAGCAAAATACACGCTTCTAGAGGCACCGAAAGGAACTCATCCTAATTGCCATCAGGGGAATCATAAAAGACAAATATACTAACGGATTAGGTTAAACTACTCTGAAACTGACTACACGGGTGGGCATTAATCGCGCCAACTGACCTGAGTCAGGTAGTCAGATATTCTTGAATTGCGCCAACTACTCCAGGGAGCCACCCGGTGCGTTCCTTATCTACACCAAATGGTGACCCTCTTTGACTGTACATTATTGAGTGGGTTCGGTTAGGTTAAGTTAGGTTAGATTAGGATAGGTTATGTTAGGATGACACGTTATTTTTTCTGCCAGCAACTCACCCCTTCCCAAACAAAGTAATTTAATATCTCCAAATTTAACCAAGTTAATTTTAACCAAGTTTTTATTTGGGCTTGGCGCAACGAAGGAACATTTTTTGGGACCCTTTGAGGGCTTGGCGAAATTATTATAAAGAACTCTTTGGTGCAATTAATGCACGACCGGCTACACATAGCCGTGGACATGAACAACAACGACTGAAGTTCAATGTATTGTGTGTATTTTTTTACTGAAACGCCATTTTGGAAACAAGGCTACTTTCTAAGCCTGTTAGAGATGTCTTCTCCTATTCTCTCTGGAGTATACAGTACAACATATGCCAGCTACACTACTTGGGCCTGTCACTCGTTACGTGCGTCACAGTGGCTTATAAGGCAACACAAGTGGTGACTCACCCAGCTTATTGAGTTGTCCATACAACGCAGTGTTATGCTCAGAGAGCACAGAATATAGATGTTATCCGACCCCAAAGGACCAACGACGATTTGGCCATTTTTGTGGCAAATTCCTGCATACATTGTATTTAAGTGTCTCCTGAACCCTGAAATGGATTGTAAATGTACAGAGGGTTTCCTTAGGACATCAACTTGTGAAATTAGCAATTTAAAATTTGAATCATTGAAATAAGCTATACAAAAACCATCAAAGAATTCAATGAATAAATAGTTGGGATTAATAAGAACAGTTATTTAGTCATTAATCCTTCTATTGTTCTATAGACAGAATTATACGGATATTACTTGAATCCACCGATGCCACAGTGGAGTAGTAATTACTGAAATACTTTGTGGACAGATCAAAGGCAGCTTGGTTGTTGTTTTTGTTATTTCTACAGGGCTCAATATGCACTTCCCGTTTTAATCCGTGCGGATTATTTCATTTTGGTTTTCTTTATACTGTTAACGTCTGGTTTTATGTGGGAAATAGTACTGTTTCATTCTATTAAAACGTGTCCTAAGTTTGGTCATTGTGTTTATTCCCTTGTCCTTTATATGAAAAGAAGATTTTCAAAGAATCAAAATAGTAAGAGCATGTTTAACAGGAATATAATACATATCAGTATTTTAAGCTTGGTAATTTCGGGGATTTTTTCAGTAGTCATTTCCGATGGAAAAGTTTATGTGAATAAATTTTGTTTGAACTTAAGGCCAATAAAATTGTGTTACAATAGGAGACGAGAAAACGATGGGATTAACTTAAGCCCGAGTTCAAAACAGGAAATGATAAACCTACATGCTTAACCCCGCTCTAAAAACTGACAAATCTAGAACCAAACTCTTACTGTATCAAGGCTATTGGTTTTGGAATATCACAAAATTTGTATTGTATTGAGTATATTGTAGCGTGAAAACTGTATCAACAATGTATTCCTTTGTGTTAAGATCCTCCAAGCAAAGATCTGCTCCCATATGCAGTATGTATTTCAAATCCCAAGCAATACAATTCAAACCGCCCAGTAAACTACGCGGTGTATTGCTACGTTGTATCAGTCAGAGCTAATCAGTGGTCCATTGTTAACTGTCCAATGCGGACGTCTCTGTGTGTAACCAGTGATTGTGTCCTTAACTCAATACGTTGGTAAACAACCTCAACTGTTCATAGTTGTGATGTTGATGAATTCATCACAAAATTTAGAAAACAAACGTAAAAGCATTACTTTGACAACTTAAGATGAAATATTGTCAGTGATAGACGCTTTTTCAGGTGGAAGTACAAATGTCAAACAGTCCACATAAGCCCATGTTCAAACCATAATCAAACGGCTCATTCATTTAAAAAGTAAAATTTAATCAAAGTAAACAATCCTTCAAATTTAACCTCATTTCAAAGATGTTATTTCAATAAACTGAACTGGGAAAACTACCACTATACCTCGATATTAACATGAAAGAAAATGTCGGTAACTAAAATCAGATTACATCATTATGGTGTAATATGACCTATTGCAAAGAGTATGAAACGTGAGAGATTTGAATATACCAAAACGTGTATGTGTTATAAACCCAAATATGTGTAATAAACCTGAAATTGAGTAGTTCGTAATCTGACGTAAAATTTTCAATTCATCAAACTTTCAGTGGAATCCATAATTTGATTATCTTTCACGAAAAAAACATAGTTAACTAACAAGTTCATGATCAAACATACCTATGTTCATCTTTGCGACCGTAATATATATTGGACCAATAATACTGTACAATAGCTGCAAGATTAAAATAAGCAGTAGCCTAACAACAAATAAGTTATGTGACCAAAGAAGAAAGAGAGATGTGACCAGTAAAGAGAGTTGATGTGGGTGGTATATTGTGAGGTCATCATCCTACATAATCGCTAATATCAACGGCTCGGTCACGAATTGTAAAGTGGAATACTTTTTTAAAATTTAATTCTTGGATACGCTTAATTAATCAGACAAATAATTTCATGTGATATTAACAAATATTTGAAGTGTTAAATAAATCGAAAACTATTCTGGAAAACAATTTAAATTATTTCTGGTGTTAATTAGGCCCATATTGTATACTTTGGTGGATTTATCTAAAGATCTAGGAAATAAAGCAATTTAGTTGAATGGAAATACCTGATAGATGCGAATACAATTATTGAAATCCACTCTTAAGCTATGTTTCAATTTCCTTTAAATACGATGGTATTAATTAAGTCCTCCCAGCTTGAGATGTGTATTTGTTTCTTTATTTCCTATAAGGCGAGTAAGTATACCAATAACCTTTTATATCCAATAGTTAATTGTATAACAGTCTAAGCATACCCTGCCCATTAACCACGGGTTGTGATATAGGTTAAAACTATTGGTAATCGACGGGCTTTGAGCCCAAAACCTGAGTAACAAAAGGCCCGCCCTCCACTCACTAAACATCTCCTTACGACCTCAAATAACGATAAAAGAAACAATTCATAAAGCCAAGAATAATTCAAACACATGGAACGAATGTTACGCCTTGCACACTCGTTACTGCTACTTAATCCCGTTGTAAAAAAGTTTAAAAATAGAAAATGCATTAAACACGACCGGAAGTTGGGTAAGAACGACAAAACAAAGCCAGATGAAACAACTGAAACAAATCGTTTCCTAGAACAGCGATGGCTGATGAGTGAAGCGAATCACCAGACTGAAGCAGAGGCACGAGCCGAAGCTGACATTGACCGTTGAACTTTGAACACTATTGAACACAACTGGTGAACGAGTGACCCTAGCGAGGAACAGCTGGCGACAATAAACAATGCAACACATGGTGTGCAGCTCTTACTTGGTGTTTGAAACATACGATTTGAAATGCTCGACAGCTAGAAAGGCGTTGAGTGTTGAACACAGCTGGTAAAAACACATCAGACACTGTCAACATAGGGTTTAGAGTGGTGACATGTAGCTACGACGTTCTTGAATTATTATTAAAAAAACCTAGAGAGCAATCAGCACTGGAATAATATTTTGTCGAATATTAACAAAATATGCTCTATAGTCTTGGGATTATCACATAGATACAAATCAATTGGTGATTGTCAGGATTCTAACCCGATACCTTCGGTACTGAAGCCTAGCACTATACCAGCTTCTTAACCAAAACTGGGATACTAGTTTGCTGTTAATCTTCGTAAATAGTTTTTCCAGTTCAGGAGCTAAGTATCTACAAGAATTCAATTCCGATATGAATCCTCAATGAAAACTATCAGGAGATTTAATACGTTGTACTGTTAAGGAATCAATTATCTAAAAAGTGTTTGTTGTTGAATTGTATCGGTTCATCGAACAAAGAACTACGAACAGGTAAAAACTAACTCCCAACAAAATTACGAAAACCTTGGTCCTGAACAATCTTATGAGGTTTAACGGTAGTGACAATATCTTACGTAAAAATACGAAATTTGTTATGAATACTGCAATGTACACAACAACTACTTGGTTATAAACTACGAACAGGTAAAGTTACTTACATAGTCTGCCGAAACTGTGGCTGAGTCTTTTCTTAATTTTCTGCACTCTGCTAAGCGCTCCGCTCTTCTTCTCTCGCATGGTAACTCCTGAAACATGCAAAATATTTTGTAAACAAACAGAGCAATTAATTTGTCTTAACAACATTTTTAATCAGTGCAAATGCTATACAACACCGTTGATCAGAAAAGCTGCAATTAATAAAATATAATAGTCGTTAGAGCACATCTAGTTGTCTAATAACGGGTGCAATTCTACAAGTCGCCAACTGCAAAAATGGGTTGTTAGATAAACAGATTACAATGAACGTTAAGTAACCAATTAGGTTTCTTCACTTATAATTTTGTACAGGTGGCCTCGTGAAACCCCAGTAAATTAAAAATTTCTTTCAAACGAGGTGTTAACTATCTTACTAACATCGATAAGAACCATCGATCCACAGAACCATCAATAACATTATTGAAGGACCTGGCAAGTCCTTGAATTAATATCTACCTTTGCTACCAACTTATCTTTCTGTGTTCGTGATTATGTCACATGGCCATTTACGTTAAGACTTCTGGACCAATTAAGCTGACATTTTGTAGGAATAAGGCCAATATATAAGAAGTCTACAGTAATTATCAATGAAATTAAATACCACAGAGTACCTAACCTGAATGTAGATACTTACATTCATTTTACCGCGAAGTACCAAGTACTCACGAATAATAGAAAAATAGTCTTTTCTAGTATTCGTGGAATACTTTATACTTTAATACTTTTCCATGATATGGCGACCATACAAAGTAGGTATTTTAATCAATGAATTTAAAACAATAGAAGTACTGTAACACAATATAACTCCGCCAAGACAATAATACATTAAATTTCGACTTCAGCTGATCCCCCCTCCCCCAGGAAGTAAAAGTACTTCTTTAGCTTCATACTGCTCCATTCTGAAGAAAATCATCCACTGGAGGGCAGCAAAAAGTTTTTACCTTCCAAACAATATTTTTTGTAAACACATAATTTCCATGCATACACATTGACTCGTGCAGTTACTTCGCAACGGCAACTAGTAGTCACGTGACCACCTTATAAAGCCAAGGTCAAAGTTCAAGTGATCGACCAGTCAGCCATCGCCGTCAACCGTGACAATGACAATGACTGTGGCTTGGCCTTCACTGCGACTTGTCGAGTTCCTAATACTGTGGAGGCGAGGAACGATATTTCAACTCACGCTTTCTGTAGTTAACAATAGTATTTTATAATACTAAGTGACGTAAAATTCGCACACCAAATTGATTAAAGGATATAAACACACCAGAGACAACAACCCAGGGCGTCGTCCCATCTCGTGTAAGTGTTGTCTCGTCCAAAAACCAATTAAATTGTTCACTTAACAGGTTTACAAAAAAACATTTTAAATTTTGTAGTTGACTACCATTAAAATGTCATTATTGTTTGCAGCGTTCGTCGATAATCATAGGCCTACATTTCAATATGTCAGAGACTGTAAATTAGAGCTGTTTGCCATACAATTAATTTGACTTGAACATTTATAAATCACCAGATTGGAAAATTAAGGTATTAAAAAATTCTAATAGTTAGTTTTCATTACCCATGAAAAATAAGGAGATGTTCCTCCATTAAACCTCAGGCTAAAATAACTAGTTTCTTTAGGACAACTAATTGAACTAACATGCACGTCGTAAAAAGGTGGAAGACATTTGATTTGAAACATCTGAATGTTTAGAGCTCTCAAAGGTTCTAAGATAATTATAACTTTAACTATGGAGAATTTGTTCTATTTTAACAGTTGAAAGTTACTTTCAGAGTGTATTGATTTTTGGAAAGTCAGAGAGATGTAAAAATTGTATCCATTAGTTTTTAAATTGGTTGGTTTAATCATAGATCAAAGGAGTGGACATGTCTATACTCCTTTTATCTATGGTTTAATTAAAACATTAAGGTTGATCTATAAGTCCCCAGAGTGTTTAAACTCACTTTTAGTGGTCTTTAACAGCCAATTTTCACAAAACTAAAAATGTTTGATCTCAAAACACAAACCAAATATGACAATGCGAAAAGCTTGTCAAGTTGTCTGCATATTTAGACATTTTACACAATTACATAGTATTTACACACATCTTCCCCAGTTACCGGATAGTTATTCTGAGAACCCAGGATCTCGCCTGACCTGACTCAAGATACAGGTAATGGCCTAGTTCACCACATTGTAAGTGGTCATTCCAGTCGTTCCAGCCTATCCAGGGCTGACCGCTACCTCAATACAAGCCCGCGGCGAATCACATAATGGCTCTAACGTTAACGCGAATAATAATACCCGTTGGGCACAGCCTTGATCAAGACCTTCTACCACAACGTGTATCGCTGTATAATTTTTTAAAGTAATACATATTGTTGTAAAATGTTCTTAATTATTAAGTTTGTCACACACTGTAGCGTAATCTGAGTCCAACTTAATGAATGTTTGTGTAAGGATATTATAACAGTATCGTAAAAGCAATCGCAAAAGTAAACATATCCGGCTCAAAGGGCATATTTTTCGCTAGGGATGTTATGTAGTTGTCTCAACGATATGCCCTAAACAACATTTTATAGTGAACACCAAATTAGAGAAGTCTGAATTATGACGAGACGTTTCAGCGAAATTTGGTGTGAATTTGGTGCTCTACCTCAGCTCGGATTTTTCGTTCCTATACCGTTGCACTGAACAGCGCCTCTAAGAGCGCTTGGAAGCCTTTTGAATCTGGAAGATTACATAGTTATCCTTACAACATTTTAGTAAACTAACTGCAGATACTTGTTTTTAGGAATCTATTGCACTTTCCAAATTTGTTATTTTTTCTCTAAAAATTATTTGTATGCGTTAAAACTTATGATAAAAAACAAATCCAATCTGTTTGTTAGAAAAATATACCCTGTCTATTTATGCCAATAAGCATGTTACTTATGTACAACGTGATCATAATATTTTTATGTAATTTACTGCAAGCTATTCAGTACACTGTAGGTAGACCAAAGTATGTGGACAGTATTGTAAAATAGCTAGAGTGGTTACACTACTAGTTACATAGTCATTATAGCAAGGAAGCTGTCACTTTCTCTAAAGCACGGTAGATCACCGACGTCGAGGCAGATAATGTCAAACGTGCTCGTAATATCACTTTCTAACTGCAGATTTCAACTTGATAAACTCTAGAAACGTTCCTAATCCATAACATTTCTGGATAATTTTTGCACTTTTTACGTGTCATTCATTAATTCTATCAATATTTGTTTTATTTAATACTAAGTACAGAAACCATAAGATTTTAGTATATTTTCCCGTTTGGAAGGTTTTTTTTCAAAAAACTAAACAGTGAACAATTTAAGAATAGTTCTATGACAAAGTCGAACGAAAAACGTCTGAAACTGTTTATTTGATAAAAGAAGTTTGTATTGACCTTTTAAACCATACAACCAAGCAAGATATGTAGCATAGATCGAACGATGAAAAAAGAGGGTTCCAATACGCTGCAATCAATGTTGTAAATACATTTAATAAATCATCTACTCCTATGTTGTAAACATGCTTGAGATCTAGACTTGCTGAAAGGCATACAGATGTATAGACCTTTCTATACCACAATAGAACCACTAAAAGTCTACTCAACTGCTGCAAACTGCCAACTGCAACTATAACTCTCTTAGTGCACATTTTGTGAAATACGTTGGCCAACTCGCAGTTAGAGCGCTCGGTTTCTCTCAAAGATTTCTCAAAGTTCTTTTGTTTCATTGATGTCAACAAAAATATACACTGTTATTTACAAATTGTTATTTATATGTCTTTGGGAGTTTAGTTAGTGTTTCTTTTCTATATTCTTAGAAATCCAGATAAAACTAAAATATATTTACTTATTTTAGCGAATTTCCCTATAGGGAAGTAGCTATTACCGTAGGTCTCATGGAAACACTTAGGCCCGGGACCGATTTACTTTTTCATTTTGATGTCCCCAGAGGCCAAAAACACCATTCGTTCAAATTTTTATATATGTATATATATATATATATATATATATATATATATATATATATATGTGTCCGTGAACACGATAACTTGAGTAATTTTTATCCGATTTTGATGAAATTTGGTTTAAAGGTGTAAGGCGGGATAAACTTGAATGAGTTCGCGATCCAGCATGATCGGACCATGGGAACAGGGTTTTATGGAGGGTTTTATGGGGTAAAAATTGGTTTTTCTCACTTTTGACCCTCAAAACAAAAAATTTCCCAATTTTCCTCTAAACCTTCTTAAAGAGCTTAAAAAAACAAACAATTCAGTATATCAAAGTGTTTTTGTACGGTTATTGGTTACGGAGAAAACTAAAAAAATGGTCAATTTAAAATTCCCATGTTATTCTTATGGAGAATATTGTAAAATGTTGTAGTTTGCTTGTTTATGGATATCTTTTGATCTAACTTGGCAAATATATTCATTTTATAGTAAGCAATAATTATTTTACTTAAAACACACACTTTATTAGTTTCCTTGTAGCAGCAAACCTAGGTACTCTTTAAACCTAATGTTATTTAAATAGATCAATTGAAAATCAATTCAGCCAAATGGAAATTCGCTAAGACGGCAGGTTTGCTGCGGCGGGGGTATTTTATCTATCACACATCTAAAAATTATAGAAATTACCTCTAAAAAATTTAAACTGCTACGCTTTAAGTAGGTACTCGAAAAATAATCTCATTATTCAGTTAATTACTCGTACTGTAGTTGTAAATAGCGAACTCTATTTTAATTGAGTAAAACTTCGTTAGAAACTGCTAACAGATACCGTTTTGTCTTTTAATCAAAATTTTAATCACGCCATACCAATAAACAAAACATTTCAAACTATACTTTTTATGTAATGTCCAACCAGCTAAACGACCATCTTAGTATGAAATGATTGGAGAGAAATTATAATAATTGAATGAACGAAGTGAATTCTCATACTTTGTTTATAGTTAAACACTTTGAAAGTGGTTCAAAATCAAACTACGTATTTTTGAGTAACTGGCTACTGTCCAACACGATGGAGTATACAATTAT